CCCGGCTGAATTTGGGGAGGGGTCCCGGCCGCATTTGGGGTCCCGGGCTGGATTTGGGGTCCCGGGCTGGATTTTGGGGTTCTTTGGGTGGATTTTGGGGTTGATTTTGGGGGTCTCTGGGTTGATTTGGGAAGGCGTCCCGTCTGGATTTGGGGAGGGGTCCTGGGCTGGATTTTGGGGTGGATTTTGTGGTCCCAGGGTGAATTTTGGGTGAATTTTGGGGTGGAGTTTGGGGGTCTCTGGGTTGATTTAGGGAGGGGTCCCGGGATGAATTTGGGGAGGGGTCCCGGCTGCATTTGGGGTCCCGGGCTGGATTTTGGGGTCCTGCAGTAGCGGCAGATGGAGCCGGGCCGGTACCGCCCTTCGGCCTCGCCCTCCTCCTCCTCCTCCTCTTCCTCACTCCCTGCATTTCGGGGAGGGGTCGGGGGGGTCACCCCAAACTCCGGGACCCCCCCCAAAAAAATCCCCCCCCCAAAAAAATCCCACCTTCATCTTCATCATCCTCCTCTTCCTCGGAGCTGTCGCCGCCGCCTTCATCTTCCTCACCTTCATCATCGTCACCTTCCTCCTCCTCCTCCTCCTCGGAGCTGGGGTGGGGTGGGTGGCCTTCATCATCCTCCTCCTCATCATCGTCACGGCGGCCTTCATCATCCCCGTGGCCTTCATCGTCGCCGTGGTGACGGCCTTCATCATCGTCGTCATCATCGTCACGGCCGTGGCCTTCCTCCCCCTCGCGGCCTTCGGCGTCACCATGGCGATGGCGCCCGTGGCCTTCACCCTCCTCATCCTCGCCTTCATCGCCGTCACCCTCCTCATCCTCGCGGCCTCCGCGGCCTTCCTCGCCCTGGTGAGGATGATGATGGTGGTCTCCAGGGGAGCCTTCGTCACTCTGAGGATGATGATGGTGGTCTCCAGGGGAGCCTTCATCACTCTGGTGGTGATGATGATGGTGATGAGGATGATGAAGGCTCTGGCCTTCCTCCCCCTCGCCCTCCTCATCCTCCCCTCCGCGGGGGGGTGTCCGGCCTTCCTCCCCTCCGTGATGATGATGATGGTGGTGGGGGTCTCCATGGGAGCCTTCATCCCCTCCGTGATGATGATGATGGTGGTGGGGGTCTCCATGGGAGCCTTCATCCCCTCCGTGATGATGATGATGGTGGTGGGGATCACTGGGAGAGCCTTCATCCCTGTGAGGATGAGGATGGTGGGGGTCACCAGGGGAGCCTTCATCCCTCTGAGGATGAGGATGATGATGATGGTGGGGGTCTCCATGGGATCCTTCATCCCTGTGAGGATGATGATGGTGGGGGTCACCAGGGGAGCCTTCATCCCCCTGATGATGAGGATGATGATGGTCTATGTGGGAGCCTTCATCCCCCTGAGGATGATGATGGTCTATGTGGGAGCCTTCATCCCCCTGAGGATGATGATGGTGGTGGTGGGGGTCACTGGGGGGCTCTTCCTCGCTCTGAGGATGATGATGATGATGAAGATGAAGGCCCTGGGGGTCCCCAGGCCCCGAGCCCGCCCCCCCCCGGAGCAGCAGCAGCCCCAGCAGGAGCCGCGCCAGCCACGGGCCGGGCATCGGAGTGACCGCTGGGTGACCACTGAGTGACCAGTGAGTGACCAGTGAGTGACCAGTGAGTGACCGCTGGGTGACCGCTGAGTGACCGCCGAGCGACCGCCGAGTGACCGCTGAGTGACCAGAGTGACCGCTGAGTGACCAGAGTGACCAGTGAGTGACCGCTGAGTGACCGCTGAGTGACCACAGAGAAACTACAGAGTGACCACTGAGTGACCGCCGGGTGACTGCTGAGTGACCGCCGAGTGACCGCTGGGTGACCGCTGGGTGACCGCTGAGTGACCGCTG